GCTATGACAACAAGAGGTTGTGTAAATGACCCAAACATATTATTTTATATTTGTGGTAAATTTGTTGTAAATTTGATTTAATTTTTTCTTTCCGATGTGTAAAAAATCCTTATGTGATAGAAAAAAATTAATATTATTTTCGACATCTGCGTAGCTGAATTATGGAAAATCCGTTATTAAAACCAAAACAACTTTAATGAGGTTTAAATTCGCCGGCCTGTGTTATTCAGCCACACTCGCAAGTCAATTAAAGGATATTTCAATATTTTTTTACCAAACCTCTGTTATAAAATAATGTTATTGTTATAAAACAGGAATTTAATCATCAGTCGTGTGACTTCAGAAGCAAATTACTGGTCATTCAGTTTATGAAATATATAGTGGTCTCCCAAGAACTTATCTTATATATCACTTTGAAGTAAATTGCTAAGTTTAATGTGCTCCAATTTATTCATTATCTATGGTTAGTCCTCAAAGAAGATTCTCAGATGTTTCACTGATGACTAGAGACATCGGACAAATAGAAGTCGTCCAATCACATCAGGCTGTTTAAAAATGTTGTTAATATAACGTGGAAACATTCAAAATAAATGGCATATTTACTCGAACATCTGGATAAGACAAAACAACATCCTTTAGATAAACAGACGACAACCATCAGTCAGTCGATTCTGGCTTACCACAATCGTACTGTACTAGTCCCTATACTGATAGACATGTTTATAGCTGCAACTAGACGTCGTGTAAATATGAGAATAATTACAAAAAACGAATTTAACAAAGCTGGCCTCTACCTAACGCTCAATGAGGTGCATTCTGTTCACAAAATTGCAGTTTCTCTGTAATGGTGGTAAGAACACATCCAGAAGACTAATGACTTATGGACCAATATTATTTTTACAGATGAGCCGCGCGCCTCCCTGCGGCTACGAGTATACTTATTTGGAAAAACAAATTGTGGAACCACATATAATCAGGTTTTAATACGGGGCCATCAGGAATTGGTCAATGTAATGTTTGAAGTATGATGAGGGCATTATTAAGTACTGATGGACGTACAGACATCGACTTCTGCAGAATGGTATCATTAATACCAAACATTAAAGGGACCATATCCTAAGACCCTTTGTGTTAGCAAATGTTGGCGCAATGGGTTCTGACATTAACATAAAGAATTATAACTTCCACACTTAACGTGTTAAACTTCTGTAACATACTTTGAAGAAAGAGAGAGTAACCTGTAGCAGATGGTACTTACGGGAATTATCTGTAGCAGATGGTACTTAAGAGAGTGACCTGTAGTAGATGGCAGTTATGGGAGTAGTGACCTGTAGCTGATGGTACTTATGGAAGTGACCTGTAGCAGATGGTACTTACTGAAGCGACCTGTAGCAGGTGGTACTTAAGAGAGTGACCTGTAGCAGATGGTACTTATGGAAGTGACCTGTAGCTGATGGTACTTAAGAGAGTGACCTGTAGCTGATGGTACTTACTGAAGTGACCTGTAGCAGATGGTACTTACGAGAGTGACTTGTAGCAGATGGTACTTACGGGTCAGAACGAGAAGTTATGTAAAAGTTTCAGTACCACCATTTGGAAAAAAATATTAAATGCAAGTAATCTATAAAGTGATGGAAAAATCAGTGAATTAATTTTTGAAGATTGAAAGTTTCGATTCAGTATCTATCATGTATCATGTATTTCTCTTTGATTAGATGTTATTGTCAATAGGCGTAAGATGTTAGTGATGAACTTATATAAATAACGTCCCCCCCCCCAGTGACACAGCGGTAGTCTGCGGATTTACAACGCTAGAAACCTGGTTTCGATACCCGTGGTGGACAGAGCAAAGATAGCCCGTTGCGTAGCTTTGTGCTTAACTACAAACAAACAATAATATATATAAGAATATAGTTGATTAATTTAAAGTTATAAAATCTGTAACCGAGTCGTGTAAGGAATAACCTGAATAACCAGTATTGATTCATAAACACTCATTTCCTGTACTAAATATGTTGATAAACACAAGTTTTCTGTTCTAAATTTCTTCGTAAATACACGATTCTAGTATCCTTTCAACTTTTCGAAACTTCAGAAAACAAACGGGGTTTCGTCTTAATAGGAAACCCTTTATTAAAATAAAAACTCGAAGTTGATAGTTAATTAACATATGTAGAATATTAACGTTGAATTCAATTTTGCTATAATGAAAACCTAACACTAAAACAGTCAAAACTTATAAATCTCAAAATGTCTTCAGTAAAATTTAGTTTTTCTAAGGTAAGTAATTTTTTAGAATATAATCATTTCGAATATTGGGGGGGGGGGGTCATCATTTGGCTAGCACTGCTTATTCTTTTATATATTTCTAATAACACCTCAATGAAGTTACTTTCATTTTCAAAATACAACTCTAGTTTTAACCGGTTATCAGTTGAAATATGTTTATTTATATGAAATTTATTTATTCTTCACAGTGATTCGAACGTCTACCTACAACAAACTCTAAAACTAACAAGAACCACAACACAGATTGGTTTTATACATCTGTGTACATGTCACCAACTGACACCTTCTGTCTACGGACTTACAAAGCCAAAAACCGGGTTTCGATACCCGTGGTGGGCAGAGTATTGATAGCGCTTAACATCAA